ACCAGCAGCTATGGCTGCCGCCACCCACATAGACTCAGTGAGGAGTCTCCACACAGCCCAGCCACTCGCAGAAACCCACAGGGGTTGATGCGCAGGGGATGCCCCATCTATGGCAAGCCCGCAGTAGGCTGGCTATGGCTGCTGTCCACGGTGAGGGTCTCAGGGTACCGCCTGCAGACAATCGCCGTTGCAAACCTCCTTGGCTCCAAATGCTGTAACGCGAAAATGAACTGCCAAAAGTCCTCAACAGTCCTACGCTAACCTACTTGTAGAATCTACACTACTCTAGCCTGGGGCCTACCGGTACCGGTTCGGTTAGGGCCTACTCGGCCTCTACGAAACCGGTCCTACTGCTGCACTTAGGGCTCAAGGCCACTTAGGGCCGGTAACCACTCAGCCCCTATTGTTGTTAGTTCCAGCTATTTTTAGAATAGCAGGCGGCCCTCAGTGCAGACCAAAAAAACACAGCAAGCACACAGCACACTGTACAACCTCGAAGTCAGTCTCGACAGTCGAAATCAGCAAGTCATTGCAGGCTTACCCCCCCGGGGAGCGAGGCCCTCCGAGCTAGGGATGCAGACGAGGTGAGCGGCGAGGAAGGTTACCCTTCTGAGCCGCTTCATATCGTAGAACTGACTTTGCTGTCTTGAGAAGTTCCCTTCTGTAGAACCATCTGTTCTCAGAAGGAGGCTGGAATGCGAACCTCACAAGATACTGCCGATCGGGGCCTGTGCCCCACTCATCCTCAATCCATTCCACGTCATATCCCTTACCAGGGATCGGTGGACCAAACTGAGGGGGCCGGTCTAGGAATGCATCAGCTGGAGTGAAGGGAAGCAACTTAGATGCATGGAAGACCGGGTAGGTTCGTAGATGCAGCGGGACGTCAATGACATAGGACGGACCGAATGAATCAGCGCCCATTGTATCTAAGACCTGCCATGGACCCAGGTAACAAGGCAACAGCTTCGGGGAGAAATCTTCCTCCCTCGACAGCTCAGAACTGGCTACCCAAACATGATCACCGGTGCGGATGGGGGAAGGCCGCCTATGGCGATTAGCTTGTTCAATCATCGCCTTTTGGGCTTTGAACAAGTTCGCCCGTGCTCTTTCCACATCTATGAGGTAGCGTCTGGTGAACTCTGTGGTGCCTCGTGTCAGGTCTGTCTTGGCCTTGTCGATGATGTCATCGAGAGGCTGTCGTGGTTCACGTCCCCAATGTAACCGGTATGGACTGAACCCAGTCGAGGAATGGACAGACATGTTATACATGAGCTGTGCTCAAGCCAAGTGAAGATCCCAATCCTGCTGATCTGGCGAGATGACATGACGCAGCAATTGGAATAAGACTTGGTTCATCACTTCAACCAGACCATTGGCTTCAGGATGATGCCCAGAAGTCATGTCCAATCGTGAGTGTAGATAGTCCTTGCAGTAGGATTGCCACTCATCGCTGCAAAATCGGGGGTCTCGGTCACTGACTATAGAAGTGGGCGGTCCATGGTGTGTGACCCACCTCTCTGAAAAGGATGCTCTCACAACCGGGACTCTGGCCACTTCTGGCAAGGGGATGAACTCTGCGTATTTGGAAAACCTGTCCACGCAGACCATAACCTGACGCATGCCACGGGGCGTGGCTTTGCCTAAATCTGTGAAGTCTATCAACACAGATTCAGCAGGGCCATCAGGTATGGGTAAGGGTTTGAGCAGTCCCAGTGGAGGCCTACGTTGAACCTTATTCCTTTGGCAGAGCTCGCAGGTTTCCACGTAGCGCAGCATATCACTCCGCATCCCTCCAGAAGAAGCGCTGCGACAGGGCTGCATATGACTTTAGGAACCCAAAATGTCCACGGGCGTCATGACACTCTGACATCAGTAATGTCCC